GCGCTGTAGCTCAAGTGGTAGAGCGCTCGCCTTGAGCTGAAGAGCTGAGGGACAGCGCCCAGGCCCAGAGTTCAAGCCCCACGGCCGACCAAAAATAAATAAATAAATAAATAAAGGCTAGGCAAGAGCTCTATTAATACCTCTCCCTCCTCAAAAAGAAAATTAAAAACTAAAATACCAGCCATGGTGGTAGACACCTGTAATCCCAGCTACTCAGGAGGTGGAGTTACCAGGATCATTTGCCTGGGCAAAAGCACAAACCCTATCTGAAAAACAAACTGGCTCAAGCAGTGGAATGCTTGTCTAGAAAGAATGAGGTACTAAAAGCAATCCCCTACATAATAAGATGGAAGGAAGGAGGGAAAGGAAGGAAGGAAGGAGAGAGAAAGAAAAAGAAAGAAAGAAAGAGAAAAGGGAAGGAGGGAGGGAGGGAGGGAAGGGAGAAAGAGGGAGGAGGGAGGGAGGGAGCCAGCGAGAAGTTAGGCAGGCAGGCAAAAAGAAAAGAAACAACAAAACATTGAATATATTACCTGAGTGGCCTCTTTCAAATAATTGAATATGGTTACTTCCAAAGCAAATTCTTCACCTCTGATGACAGAGTAGGGAAGATTCAAAGAAATGAAAAATGGTTGGAAGGCTTGTAGCTGGAAGAAACACAGTAAGTACATGTTTATTCAAATAAAAATGTTACACATTAAGTACAGTTAAAAGCCTGTGAAGCTTATAATTCCATTTAGGGAGATCTACTCACTAAAATAACATTTTACTCCAAATGAATAACCCCAAATTGACTTGATGTGTTGTTTAGCTTAATAATCAACACTATATGACTTGATTTGTTGTTTAACATAATAATCAACTCTATATGACTTGATTTGTTGCTAACATAAGAATCAACACACTATAATAATAAGTGTTAGCCAGGAATCAGGCGCAGGCACCAGTCTTGAGTCTTTTATATGTACACATATGCATGTGCCTCCTCATGGGTGATCCAACTCTGAAACTGTGAAACTGACCTAGACCTGTAAGAAAGACAGAACCCTTCCTCCATCTCTGAAGCTGAGCCTGGATTACTGTAGGTCAATGATCTATCTGGTAGCAATACTGCCCTCTAGAGGTTTATTTGAAGATTTGCAGACTGGACATCTCACTGGCGTTAGCAGGGAAAGCCTGCAATACTCAGGATGGGCACAAATAACAAAGAATTATCTCAGCCAGGCACTATTGGCTCATGCCTGTAATCCTAGCTACTCAGGAGGCTGAGATCTGAGGACCACCATTCAAAGCCAACCAGGCAGGATCTCCCATTAACCATCAAAAAACCAGAAGTGGAGCTATGGTTCAAAGTGGTAGAGCACTAGTCTAGGATAGTCTTAGTAAAAGAGCACAATAGCTCAGTAGCTATATGCATATGACTATATGAAATGATGTTTAGTGAAATGAACTACAAGAAATGGGAACAAGAGGGGGTTTTTTCGTGTGTGTGTGTGTGTGTGTGTGTGTGTGTGTGCTGTTTGGAGGTTTTTTGTTGTTCTTGTTGTTATTGATCCTGTTATTCCCTATTGTCACAGTTTTTTATTCCTATACCCTTTGTCTCATTGATAAGTTTATCTGATTTGGGAAAGGGAGGGGAATCACAGAAACAATGGGACAAATTCTCCTATCCAAAGCTGTGTGTGTGTGTGTGTGTGTGTGTGTGTGTGTGTGTGTGTGTGTGTGTGTGTGTGTGTGTGGACTGTGTGCCGGTTCTGGGGCTGAGCCACCAGTACTCTGCTTCCTATCCAAATATTAATATGGACCTAATCCATTTAGCAATTTAATGCAAATCTCATTCTAAAATTTAAAAAGTTAAAAAGTAAAGGCAAAGATTCTCTGAACTATGATAAACAGCATAGCAATTTTTTTTAATCTGTTCAATGCCAAGTGCTAGTGGCTCATGCTTATAATCCTAGCTACTCAAGAGCTTAAGATCTGAAGATTGTGGTTCGAAGCCAGCCCAGGCAGCAAAGTACATGAAACTTATCTCCAACTAACCACCAGAAAACCAGGAGTGGAGCTGTGGCTCTAAGTGTGTAGAGTACTAGCCTTGAGTGAAAAACCTAAGGGACAGGCCTAGCCCCTGAGTTCAGTGTCCAGGACTGATAAAGAAAAAGTATCTGTTGAGTAGCTAAAAACATCTGTAGTTTCATAGCGCTCTGATACCTCCACTGGAGCGGTTGTGAGTCCAAGACCTAAGTCCTCAGAGATCACGAAGGCAGTGGCAACCCACGAAGTGATAGAATCTGGCACAGTAACTTCAAATTCCTGGAAAATCTTGGATCTGAAGTCAAGATAAACATCACAGTTACAAAGCCAAGAACTCATATAGATTCCAAAGTAAATCAACAGATTCAAAAACTATTTGGGAAATTTTTTTAATTTTTTATATCATATATCTAAATTTAAAACCATTTATCAGCCAGACGCCAATGGCTTATATCTATAAGCCTAGTGATTCAGGAAGCTGTGATATGGAGAACAGAGGTTAAAGCCAGCCTAGGCTGAAAGGTCTGAGAGACTCTAGCTCCAAAATAACCAGAAAAAAAAAAAAACAGAGCTGAAAGTATAGATCAAGTGGAAGAATACCAACAAGCAAGCAAACTAAGGCCTGGTAACTGGCACAAAAGGAAAAAATAAAGTGAGCACCAGTGGCTCTCATGTGTAATCCTAGCTACTCAGGAAGCTGAGATCTGAGGATTGCAGTTTGAAGCCAGCCCAGGCAGGAAAGTTCATAAAAGTCTTATTTCCAAATAGCTCCCAAAATAGTAATCCTTTTTTAAAAGAGCCAGAAATGAAGCTGTGGCTCAAGTAGTAGAATCCTAGCCTAGAGCAAAAAAAGCTCAGAGATAGTATCCAGGCCCTGAGTTCAAGCCTCAGGAAAGGGACACACACAAAAATAAATTAACTAATTAAAAATAACAATAACAAGCTGGGCGCTGGTGGCTCACGCCTGTAATCCTAGCTACTCAGGAGGCTGAGATCTGAGGATCGCGGTTCAAAGCCAGCCCGGGCAGGAGAGACCGTGAGACTCCTATCTCCAATAAACCACCAGAAAACCGGAAGTGGCGCTGTAGCTCAAGTGGTAGAGCGCTCGCGTTGAGCTGAAGAGCTGAGGGACAGCGCCCAGGCCCAGAGCTCAAGCCCCACGGCTGACAAAAATAAAAAATAAAAAAATAAATAAAAATAACAATAACAAGCTGGGCTGGGGCGACTGAACCTGTAATCAATCCAAGTTACTCAGGAGGCTGAGATCTGAGGATTATGGTTCAAAGCCAGCTCCGGCAGGAAAGTCTGTGAGACTTTTATCTCCACTAAACCACCAGAAAACCGGAAGTGGTGCTGTGGCTCAAGTGGTAGAGCACTTGTCTTGAACTGAAGAGCTGAGGGACAGCGCCCAAGCCCAGTGTTCAAGCCCCATGACCGACAAAAATTAAAATTAAAATTAAAAAATAACAACAATAATAAAATATAAGATAAAATAAAACTAGCACTAAAAAGTAGAAAAATAGATCTCATACTCTCAAGAAATAATTCATAATCAAGTCATAATACTGACCACTGACCACATTTAGTAAAATTTTTCTCTAGCATTTACTTCTTCAGATTGGCCACCATAATCTCATACATTTTATAGAATATAAATGACCACCACATTTTCATAAATTTTGTATAAAGAACAAACACATTTTCAAACTCTAATTTTATTCTATTTGTAGAAAAGTGTTTTTTCTGCATCCCTGCCTGTGCTAGGTTTGAGGGATCTTTTGTAATTTATCTTATTTCATGCATTGCTAAGTAGTGACTGTAAGACCCAGTGAGGATTTCATGATGTATCTGCTCAACTAGCCAGAAACATGAGTCACTGAGCTCCTTCATCCCATGTGCCCCTCCCGCTCTGGCTCATGGGGATGTGTGAGAAGCGGGTGCACCTGGCAATCCAGTCCAGAGGACCACAGGTACCCACTCCACAGCAGCAATTTTCTTCCAGCAAAAGCCATGAGCTGGGAGCCAGTAGCTCACTTTGTAATCTTAGCAACTTGGGAGGCTGAGATATGAGGATCACTGTTCAAATCTCCCCTGGGCAGAAAAAAAAACTCTTATGAACTAGCAAAAAGCAGGAAGTAGTGGTGTGGCCAAGGAATCATGCCCAGGCCCTCAGTTCAAGCCCTAGGACTAGGGAGGAAATACTTGAGACTTCAAAGAAATTAAAACCACCTTCTTTTCAAAAACAAAAAACAAAAGCCCTGTCTTAGCTGAGTACCGGTAATCCTAGATACTCAAGAGGCTGAGTGATATCTAGCTAGCCCATGCAGGAAAGCCCATGAGACTCTTATCTCCAATTATACCAAACAGCCAAAAGTGGAGCTGCGGTTCAAGTGGTAGAGCACCACTCTCTAGCAAAATTGTCAGGGACAGTGCTCAGGCCCTAGGACTAGCATAAACACACACAGATACACACACACACAAACACACACACACACACACACACACACACACAAATGCACAGGACTTAAGAACTTTATAAACTTTTACCCCATCTTGGTGTCCAGCCAAATCCAAGTCTCTGGAAAATGCTTTCTGACATGAGGAGTGCTCACAGAAGAGAAGTGACGTATATCCGCCAGGTCAAAATCCACCAGCTCGGCATCACTTTTGTCCACCTGCCACTCTGGATACTCTGCCATGTCATCTGGAAAACAACACAGGCAACAGTTAGGAAAACAGACCTTAGAGCAAATGAACCCAATCACCTCTTGGCCCAACAGGATTGGAGAATGTGTCTTGTCCAACCCTCTCAGTTGACACCGGAGAGGCCTGAGAGGCAGAGAACCCAAGTGATTTTCCAGAAGCATGTGGACAGTGACCTTCAAGTCACAAATGATCTTTAATGTTTCCTGTCTCTATGACCAATAACTGAAAACCTGCTTGTAGTCCAGTAGCTTTAAAAGGTGTTTCTAACTTGAACTTTTCAAGATAAATCACAATCAGGCATCGGTGACTCTCGTCTATCATCCTAGCTACTCAGGAGGCTGAGATCTGAGTATCACAGTTCAAAACCAGCTTGGGGAAGAAAGTCTGTGAGACTCTCTTATCTCCAATTAACTAGCAAAAAGGCAGCAGTGGACCCATGGCTCAGTGTTAGAGGAAAAAGTCAAATGAGAGCATGAGGTTCTGAATTCAAACCCCAGTACTGGCAAAATAATAATAACAATGATAATGATGATGATGATGATGATGTTAAATCACATTATAAAATCCTCCTATAATTTTTTTCTCTCCCATAGGGATTGAACACAGAGCTTCATGCTTGCAAAGTAAGTGCTCTACAACTTGAGCCATGTCTCCAACCCTTTTTGCATTGGTTATTTTTGAGGTAAAATCTTGCTCTGTGCCTGGGCTGACCACTCTCACTGCACCCACTCCTCCTATTGGTGCCTCCCAGTAATTGGGATGGCAGGTGTGCCCCACTTCCCCCACACACACCCCAGCTGTCTGTCTCAAAGAACTTTTAAGCCAGGCACCAGTGGCTCATACCTGTAATCCTAACTACTCAGGAGGCTGGGATCTGAGGATCACAGTTCAAAGCCAGCCCAAGCAGGAAAATCCATGAGACTCTTATCTCCAATTAACCACTAGAAAACCAGAAGTGGTGCTGTGGCTCAAGTGGTAGAGTGCCCGCCTTGAGCTAAAGAGCTCAAAGACAGTGCCTAAGCCTAGAATTCAAGCCCCATGATGAACAAAAAAAGAAGAGGAAGAGGAAGGGGAAGGGGAAGGGGAAGGGGAAAGAAGAAGAGGAGGAGGAGGAAGAAGAAGAACAACAACAACTACTATTACTACTACTACTACTTTTATCCCTGGGCTAGTCTCGAACCACAATCCCCCAGCCTCCATATCCCAAATAACTAGTATTACACATCATCTATAATTTTTCAACTCTTCTTTTTAGCTCCTTCACACTGATTACCACCAGCTACGCCAGGCATGGGTGCTACCAGTTTACTTTAGTTTTTAATTTAAAAAAAAATAGGTGCTGGGAAGGTGGCTCAGTGGTAGAGCGCTTGCCTTGCATGCAGAGGGTCCTGGGTTCAATTTCTTAGCACCACATAAACAGAAAAAAAAAGCTGTAAGTGGCTCTGTGGCTCAAGTGGTAGAGCGCTAGCCTTGAGCTGAAGAGCTGAGGGACAGCACCCAGGCCCAGAGTTTAGGCCCCATGGCCAACCAAAAAAAAAAAAAAATATATATATATATATATATATATAGCCATACAGACTTTAGATCATCCATTGTCATTTTTCCAACATTTCTGTAGATCTAAAATTAACTCAAAATAAATTGTAATGAAGATGGCACTGTAATAAGAGCCAAGGATACAAAAGTGAATATAAAGAGCTCTATTTATAGTCTATGGAGAGGGACAAATAGAAAATCATAATGCATAAAACAACTAATATGGGACTGGAAGTGTGGTTTATGTGGTAAAGCCTCCAGCAAGAGCAATAGGCCCTGAGTTCAAGCCCCAGTACACACACACACACACACACACACACACACACACACACACACACACACCAAAAAAGACCATCTCATACAGAAAATAAATAAGCAAAGCACACATATGTCCAGATTGTGATAATGAGTTTATGTAAAAGTAGCATAAAAGAGAAGAAAAAGAAATGGTTGGGTTTGGATTTTGAAATATTAAGTGTGCTATTTAGGATTTTGACTTCATCTTTGAAATGATGATCCAGTGATAGTACTAAAATAAATTACAAACATAACTTGGCCCATGTTTTCATTTTTTAGTTGGTTGGTTTTGAAACAGAATGCGGCTATGTAGCTCAGGCTATTCTCAAAGTCACAATCATGATTTTTTTGTTTCATTTTGTTTTTGTCAGTGGTGAGAATTGAACTCATGGCCTGGGGGCTGTCCTTGAGCTCTTTTTTGTTCAGGGCTAGCATGCTACCACTTTGAGCCACAGAGCCACTTCTGGCTTTCTGGTATGAGATAAGAGTCTCACATATTTTTCTGCCCAAGCTGGCTTTGAATCCCCATCCTCAGATCTCAGCCTCCTGAATAGCTAGGATTACAGACATGAGCCACAGGCACCAGGCTTAACTAACTTTTTATAAGATAACTCTGACTAAAGTAGAAACAATGGCTTGGAGCTGGGCTACAGGGGAAGCTGAGAAGCAGAGAGTTGGAAGGGTAAGACAAGGTCCAACGAGACCCTACTGAGAGCCAAATAGCAGGCAGAGATGAGGAGGGAACTGACTCAGAACAATTCTGCTATCTCCGCATTAAATGTCCTCTATACTTGTAGCATGCTGGAGCTCACATTGTTACCCTTACCACAGGCCTCTGGGTTAGCCCCTTTAGGTCAAGTTGAAGTCCCCATTGCTTTACACATCAATGCAATGACTGGGGCTGGGAAGGTGGCTCAGTGGTAGAGTGCTCTCCTTGCATGCATGAGGCCTTGGTTTCGATTCCTCAACACCACATACAGAGAAAAAGCCGGAAGTGGCACTGTGGCTCAAGTGATAGAGTGCTCACCTTGAGCTGAAGAGCTCAGGGACAGTGCCCAGGCCCAGAGTTCAAGCTCCATGACCAACCAAAAAAAAAATCAATTGTGATCACATGCCAGAATGTTTAGCATCAGCTAAACACTGTTCATTATCTACTGAACGATTCATGATCCAAATCGAAGGAATACATTGAAAGGAAACTTGCAAAATCGTAAGTGCCAAACATATGATATGCATTTTGAGTTGCTGAAACAGTATGTGTGTGTGTGTGTGAGAGAGAGAGAGAGAGAGAGAGAGATTGCATTTGTAGCTTCCTCATGCTGGGTAATTCAATGGCTTTAAGATACAAATCCCTAAAAATCCTATATGACATGTAATATTATTAACTCAATATTACAGGTAGAAACTAGAGGTTAGGAGAGTTTAATTAATTTTCCTAAGGCCATAACACCAGGATTGAAAGCCAGGAGTATATGATAGCAAATCCCTTTCTTAGCCACTATGCTATGTCACCTATCAGAAAAAGAAAGGAAAGAATTAAGGTTAAGTTCTGGAGGGAAATCTGAGTAGATTTCACTACCCCAGATGAAATCATAGGGATTCAGGAAACTGTATTAATTGGTCAAGAGAGTGAGAGGAAGGAAGGAAGGAAGGGAGAGAGAGGGGAGAGGGAGAGAGAGAGAGGTGAGGGGAGAGAGACAGAGACAGAGAGGGAGACAGAGAGAGAGATGCATGAGATCCTCAGCACCACATAAGCAGAAAAAAACTGGAAGTGGCGCTGTGGCTTAAGTGGTAAAGCATTATCCTTGAGTTGAAGAGCTGAGGGACAGTGCCCAGGCCTAGAGTTAAGGACCCATGACCAACCAAAAGAGAGAGAGAGAGAGAGGGAGAGAGAGAGAGAGGGAGAGAGAGAGAGAGAGAAAGAGAGAGAGACTACTTTGTGGCATGAGGACTGTTTTCTAAGTGAACATCGAAAAGCTAATGAATATAACTACTGTTGCTCCTTTCAACTAATTCCAAATGAATAGTATGGTTTTCCATACAAGTTGGAACCACAAGATCTTTCCATATGTCCAAAAATATAAGCACCTCAAAGAGTTACAGGAAACAAATGAAAAGCGTTGATTTCAAAGATGTCAATAGGTGGCCCGGATATGATTCCATCTGCAGCCAATTCCAAACATTTTAGGACATAATATCCACAATACTACAAGAAAGTATCCATAGCTCAGTGGTACAGTGCTTGCCCAGCATGCACTGGATCCTAAGTTCAATCCCAGAAATACAAACAAACTCAAAATAAAATAAAGCTGGGGCACCCAGCTGTGCTGTGGAAGGGTCACTATGTAGCCTGCTACACATGAGTTCAAGGGCAGCCTGGGATACATACTGAGACTACAGCTCAAAAAAGGAAAGTGCCAGGCACTGGTGGTTCACATCTGCAAGCCGAGCAACCCAGGAGGCAGAGATCTGAGGATACAGTTGAAAGACAGCCGGGGCTCCAGAAAACCATAAGTGGAATTGTGGCTTGAAGTGGTATAACATTAGCCTTGAGCAAAAGAGCTCAGGGACAGTGCCCAGGCCCCAAGTTCAAGCCCCATGACTGAGGGGGAAAAAAGGAAAAAGGAAACAGAAGGAGGAAGGGGAGAGAAGGAGAGGGAAATTTATGCATACTTATATGTAATATTAACAGTACAGTGTAAACCACAAATATTCTACAAGCATATTTGCCAATTTTACTTACAAACACCGTCAATATAATCTTTCACGAGATTTGCATCTGTCAATACCCAGAGACCACATTCCTAGAGGAAAAAAACATATTTTTAAATCAGTTTAAAGACAATAAAATTTTGTTTAAAAGCAAGAATCAAAATTTAAGTGTTCTATAATCACACAAATCTCTAAGTCTAGACTAGCTCTTGCTCGTTCTGTCTCTCCTTTTTCTGTGTTCCTCTGTGTATCTCTCTCCCCTCCTTCCTTCCTTCTGTTCTTCTCTTTCTCTTTTCCATGCCTATGCATTGTTTATAACAGCCATTTCAAGGTCAAAGAAAGGAACATAAAGGAAATAAAATATTTAGTGGCAATTCCTTTCATCTCTGCAATGATAAATTGTTCCACTTGATTTCAAAACTGATTTACTCTCATTTCAGTTCCCCAATGACAATTAACTCTGAAAGCATTTGTTATTGTGAAAGACAGGTAATACCTTTCCAATTGTCTAGCAAAGCAAACATACCTGAAAGACAGCAAAAGAATTCACGTACATGCCCAAATAATATCCGGTGTTATAAAACTCCAATTCGTGGATGACCTACAAAGAAGGTAAAACACACAGAATGAGAAGATACATGTCAGCCTATTCTGCTTTTCCTCATGTTTCCTGAAACACGACAAAAGACTCACAGATAACTCTATGTGATGTTCATTACAGCATTTCTCCCAATAATCAAAGGGCAAAAAAATCATAAAAGTGCCTGTCCATCACCAGGTGATTAGATAAGCAAAATATGGTGTATACATATACGATGCAATACTATTCAGCCACAAAAAAAATTGATGTTCCAATACAACCTGGACAAGCCTTGAAAACTTACTGTGTTAAGTAAAATCAACCAGATAAAAAATGCCACTTACATCACATATGTAGAATAGACAAAATATTAGAAATAGTTTAGAGATTACAAAGATTGGGTCAGGGGAATGGGAACTACTGTTTGATGGTTACAAAGTCTCTATTTGGGGTAATGAAAGAGTTTTGGAAATAGTGGCCGTGATCATACAACATTGTAAGGTAATTAATGTGACTGAATTACATATAGAAAATGTAAACTTTATGGTTTATGTTTATTACTGGATTAGATAAACTAAGCTATTACAATGTCATAGGCAATCATTGCTACTTCTCCCCATTTACTTTATCATTAGCCAGATAAACTGAGACAAAGGCAGGATTCAAATCCATGGAAGAAGCCAGGTGCTGTTGGCTTACACCTATAGTATGTGCTACTCAAGAGGCTGAGAGCTGAGGATCAAGGCTGGAAGCCATCCCAGGCAGACGCTCTTAGTCCAATTAACCAGCAAAAAGTCAAACCAGAGGCATCGTTCAAGTGGTAGAGCTCCAGATCTAATTCAGCAAGTGTAAGGCCCTGAGTTCAAGCTCTGGTGCTGGCACAAAAAAATAAAAATAAAATAAAATAATGAAAGGAGCTATGTACAAACTGAACAGGGCCTTTCTAGCATAAAATTAGATACTTCCCACCACTGTTACTGCTACACTAACAATATCCAAAGTACATAAACATGATGCTAGAAGAAATACTAAAAGAAAATAATAGATGGGCTGCAGGCTGGTGGCCCACACCTCTAATCCTTGCTACTCAGGAAGCTGAGCTCTGAGGATCACAATTCAAAGCTAGCCTGTGCAGGAAAGTCCTTAAAGCTCTAATCTCCAATTAACTACAAAAAGCCAGAAGTAGAGCCATGGCTTAAGTGGTAGAGAACTAGCTTTGAGCACAAAAGCTCAGGACCAGTGCCCAGGCTAGAGTTCAATCCCCAGGACCAGCACCAAAAGAGAGAGGGAGAGGGAAAAATAATAGAAGGGGCCAACAGAAAAATCTTGTAGTGCCTGTAAGCTGGCAAAGTAAGTCAGCCCATATAAGGGAGAGAAGTTTCCAGTTTCCATGCCTTAACAGCAATTTTGGATGCATGAAGGTCAGCGTCCACTCAAATCAGGCACAAGTTGGGAAGCAACAGTAGCTATTCCGTAAGAGACCCTCTTCTTCTCCCTCCCTCAATAAAAGGTCCTGACCAAGGCTGCTTCGGGCTGGGGATGGGAGGACTCTTGTCTGCAAGGCATTTCTGGAAGGCCTGGAGAACCCGAATTATCCTTTACCATCCACCAGGCTCCCGGCACCCCACAGAAACTAAAGAAGAAAGGAGGAAGTCAACAGTGTCTATTATCATGGGCTCCTGACTCTGCTCCAAAGGCAACTCTGGAGAAACAAGAAAGCCCACTGGAAAGCCAGATGCATGGAAAGGCAAGACGGCAGGAAATGTGGGGGACATCTTGAATTAAAGCTGTGGATGATGTCAGTCTGAGGCAGAAGACAGCTCAAGAGGGACAGTCAGTAGACTGAGCATGGGTTTGTTTTAGTTTTGTTTATGGGGGGGAGGGGTGTCAGACCTAGGTCTTAAACTCAGGGCTTGGGCACTGTTCCTAATTTTTTTTCTTTTCTTTTCTTCACCTCCCTTTCCCCACGGCTAACACTCTACCTACCATTTGAGCTACAACTTCACGTCTGGGTTTGGAGTAGTTTACTGGAAATAAAGAGTCTCACAGAGTTTCCTGCCAAGGCTGGCTTCAAACCAAGATCCTCAGATCTCAACCTCCTGAGTAGCTAGGATTACAAATGTGAGCCAAAGCACCCAGCTCTGTGTGTGTGTGTGTGTGTGTGTGTGTGTGTGCGCGCGCGCGCGCGCGCATCAGTCCTGGGGCTTGAACTCCATAACTGGTGCTGTGGTTCAAAAGACAGAGCACTAGCCTTGAGCACAATAGTTCAGGGACAGTACCTAGACCAGCATAAGAAAAAATAATAATAATGCTAGATGAAGGTATGCCTTAAATCTGATGACTAGTGACCTTATCAGAAGATGGTTATGTGAAAACAGAAAGACACAAACACGCAGGGGAGAAGGCCAGGTGACAATGGGACAGCAATGTGGCCGTAATGGCAGCTGGCGGGAAGCCCGCAGAAGCATGGAGGGCTGGGAAGACAACGCGGAGCCTCCGAGGGAGGGCACCCGGCTCCCATCTTCACTGTAGACTCCAGGACTCCAGAACTGACACAATACACTTCTGTTTCTATGTGAAAATAATTTTATAGCTTCAATCTCCAGTACTTTAAGAACTTGTTTTGCTGCTGTTGTTGTTGTTGGGGGGAGGGCATATTTTTTTTATCAGTCCTGGGGCTTGAACTAAGGTCCTGCGCACTGTCCCCAAGCTTTTCTGCTCAAGACTGGCACTCTACCACTTTGAGCCACGCTCTACTTCCAGTTTTCTGGTAGTTAACTGGAGAGAACAGTCTCAAGGACCTTCCTGCCCTAGCTGGCTTCAAACCATGAGCCTCATCTTAGTATCTAGGTTTACAGATATGAGCCACCAGTGCCTGGCTAAATGTTATTTTTACTTGACATATTAAATACAAAATTGTTGGGGTTGGAGGCATGGCTCAGGTGGTATAGCACCAGCCAATGAGTGAAAGCATCAGGGACCAAGTTCAAGGCCTAGTCTTAAACAAAAATTACCTATTATTTAGGTATCAATGTAGTGCTTCCATAAATGTATTATACAAAGCTTAAATCAGGTTAAGCAATTATTTCCTTGAACATTTGACCTAGGCGGTATATTATAATCGATAGTCACCCTACTGAGTTTATACGTAACCATTATTATAGTTATCTAATAATAGATAATCAAGGGGCTGGGAATGTGGCTTACTGGTAGAATGCTTGCCTAGCATGCATTAAGATTCCTCAGTACCACATACACAGAAAAAGCCAGAAGTGGCACTGTGGCTCAAGTGGTAGAGTGCTAGTCTTGAGCAAAAGAAGCTCGGGGACAGTATCAGGCCCTGAGTTCAAGCCCCAGCACTGGCAAAAAAAAAAAAGATAATCGAGTTATTCTCATGGACCCAAAGCTCAGCTTGCACTGTACTCAACCTCAGCCCTTCCCCCACCCACGGGAACCCGCACGCCACTCTCAAGTTCCATGATATCAACTCTATAGGTTCCAAGCCCAATACTCGGCTTTCCATGCCTGACTTCTCTCACTGAACATGGTGGTCTCTATTTCCATCCATGCTGCCACAAAGGATGGATTTCATTCATTTGTGGCTGGCTAGTATCTCCTTGTGTGTACAGGCATCAGTTGGACAATCTGGTTGTTTCCATCTCTTGGCTATTGTGATTAGAGGCATGAACATGAGAGCAGATATCTGACACGCTGATTTGATTTGTTTTGGATACAGATACAGAACTGGAGCACAGAGACGTTTTCTTAATTCTCAACAGTTTCCATGCTATTTCCATGACAGCTGCATTCATTTACATTCCTACCAAAAGGGTTTTCATTTCTCCACAACCTTGACAGGACTAGCTATCTTCAACTGGTTGAACTATAGCCAGTCTTAGAGTGTAATTTCTTAGTACTTCCTTGAGTGTCAAAGATCAAAATACAGTATAAAAATGGGTGAAAAGCTGGGCGCCGGTGACTCATGCCTGTAATCCTAGCTACTCAGGAGGCTGAGATCTGAGGATCACGGTTCAAAGCCAGCCCAGGCAAGGAAAGTCCGTGAGACTCTTATCTCCAATAAACCACTAGAAAACCGGAAGTGGTGCTGTGGCTCAAGTGGTAGAGTGCTCACCTTGAGCTGAAGAGCTGAGGGACAGCGCCCAAGCCCAGAGTTCAAGCCCCACGACTGACCCCTCCCCCCCAAAAAATGGGTGAAAACTCTGGGCAGCAAGCATATCTTTTTTGTGGGTGGGTCTGGTCCTGGGGTTTGAACTCCACTTCTCGTTTAATTGGAGATAAGAGCCTCATGGACTTTCCTGCTCAGGCTGGTTTCAAACCTCAGTCCTCAGATCTCAGCCTCCTTAGCCAGGATTACAGTGTAAGCTGCAGGATCCTGGCTAGCATACCTTTTTTTTTTTTTAATGTATATATTTTGGGAGTAGAATGTAATGTTTTGAACCCTGCATATATTATGGAATGATTAAATATAAGTAATTAACATATCCATCATCTCAGATTTTTACCATTTTGTTAAGACCATTTAAAATCTACTCTTTTACAGATAGATAGATAGATATACCAGTCTTGGATCTTGAACTCAGGACCTATATACTGTCCCTGAGCTTTTTTATTTAAGGCTAATTCTCTACCACTTGAGCCACAGCTCCACTTCCAGCTTTTCCATTGCTTAATTGGAGATAAGAGTCTCATGGGCTTTGAACCACAATCCTCAGATCTCAACCTTCTGAGTAGCTAGGATTACAGGCATGAGCCACTGGTGTGCAGCTGTTCTTTAGCAATTTTTTGAATATACAATACATTATTTCTAACTGCACTCTCCATGTTAAATTTAGACCTCCAGAACATATTCTTTCTCCCTAATTTTAAGCGGCATTTCTCATGTAAGACAGAGAAGACTAATAAGCTTCTCCTAGCTGAACCAACGGAAGCTTCGCTGTGAATTTGCTTCTACATGCAAGGAATTCATGAATATAAATAAATGCAATGTTGAAAATGGAAGTACCAGGGTATTGTTTTTTCTCCTTTAATATGTATTTTCATAACAATAAAAATGTCAACTCACATTTTCCATTGTAATATCATTTGAGGCATTCATCAGATTCACGCTTTTGTCAACAGCTACAATCCCAACTATAGAATCCGGCTGTGTCACAGAGATTCTAAGAGACACTTTCTCAGATGGCTCAGCATTCGCCTTACTCCAAAATAATTTTATCTAAGAAGACAAAAAACAAGGCTTATTTCAATCTTTGTGTGTGTGTGTGTATGCTGGTACTAGAACTTGAACCCATGGCTGCCCCCTCTCATTTTGCTTTTTCAGTCAAGGCTGATTCTCTACCCCTTGAGCCACAGATGAACTTCCAGCTTTTTGGTGGTTAATCAGAAATAAGACTCATGGACTTTTCTGCCTAGGCTGGCTTTGAACCCTGGTCCTCAATCTCAGCTTCCTGAATAGCTAGGATTACAGGTCTCAAACCAGTACCCACCAAAATTAATTCTTTATCTCATTTATTTTTTAAAAATTTATGAAAAAGCAAGGGAAGGGGTGACACTGTCCAAAAAGAAATGTACTCTTTGTCTGACTTATATAACTGTAACCCCTTTGTGTATCACCTTTATAAGAACAATAAGTAAATAAAAATTACTTGAAAGGTATGCTAATATTCTCTGCTTCTTCTGTGTATCATACACATTGTTTCCAGCTTTACAAAAAACTCCACCCTGAATATCACACACAAAGCATCCAATTTAGTGAAAAATTAGCCTGTGGTATTTTCTAGCTAATGAAATAGACACACCAAAGGCCAGCTCTCTCCCACAAACATCCTGCCCACCTGCTCACACCATTACCTGTGGCCACTGCAAATTCCAGGCCAGAGAAAAAGTGACTCAACTATGTGAAAAACCCTGAAATGGTTTCATGGATTTGAGGTAAAACCAAGCAGGTGTCAGCAGCTCATACCTGTAATCTTAGCCATTCACGGGGTTGAGCTCTGAGGATTGAGGTTTAAAGCCAATCTAGGCAGAAGAGCCCATGATTCTTATCTCCAATTAACCACCAAAAAACAAAGAGCAGAAGTGGAGGTATGGCTCAAATAGTAGAGCAGCAGCCTTGAGCCAAAAAAAGCCAAATGAGTTCATGATAGCCCTGAGTTTGAGCACTAGGACCAGCACAAAACTTATACAATCATTAAGATACAAAACCAAAAGAGATTCACAGTATCAACCAATATGAATTGTACTCATAGACTGATATGTTGAATTAAAACCCTTTTGTACAAGCACTTTAAGGCTAACAAAAATAATTTAAGCTAGGTGCTGGTGGCTCACACCTATAATCCTAGCTACTTAGGAGGCTGAGATCAGAGGATCACCGTTCAAACCAGCCTGGGCAGGAAAGTCTGTGAGACTCTTATCTCCAGAAAACTGGAAGTGGAGTTGTGGCTCAAAGTGGTAGAGTGCTAGTCTTGAGCAAAATAGCTCAGAGACCACACCCAGGCCTGAGTTTAAGCCCCATGACCAACAAAAAAATAATTTAATGGGGTTGGAGGTGTGGCTCAATTGGTAGAGCACCAGCCAATGAGCAAAGTGTTAGGTACTGAGTTAGAGTCCCAGTATTGGGACAAAAAAGTTTTTAATTGGGGGTGCGGGGTTGGGGGGAGGAGGATGGGAAGGGGAAACAAAGAAGGAGGCTACAATGCTTGATAAGAAATGTACTCATTATCTTGCCCATGTAATTGTAACTCCTCTGTACAGTATTTTCACAATAAAAAAGAAAAAGAAGTTTTTAAATAAAAGTCTCATAAGTCCCCATAATTATACACATGAAAATGAATAAGTAATAACTAAATATGAAGTGGTTTAACCATAATTCTACAGGGGGCTGACAGAAATTTCTAAGTAATAGGGTTTATGGTAGTTTTGTGAAGAAATGTATTGCTCAGATCTCACTAATATAAAGTTTTCTTTTAAGCCTTCATTGCCCTTAAATCTTACCTTATTTTTAAAAACAAGTTGGACAGGAATTTTCAAAACATCATTTATAATTTCCCCATCATCTTCAACATAATATACTATGATACAGGCCTTTGGAGCCCAAGAAAGTTCTGGTGTTAGAGAGAAGGTGGTTGAGTTTTGTTTGCCTACCGCCACCAACTGTCCCTTGGATACAACCTGGAAAAACAGTAGCTGAATTTAATTTCACAGTAAAGTCACTTGGATCTAAATTAAAGTCACAATTGTTTTGCATGCATTTTAAACATAAACACAAATTCTTAAACTAGCTTCAAAGCCTTTTCCAATGCTAGAGATCAGACAGTGTATAAACTAAAGAGTCCATTATAAAATCAATACAACCTGAGGCTGGGAAGGTGGCTGAGTGATAGAGTGCATGCATGAGGTCCTGGGTTCGATTCCTCAGCACCACATAAGCAGAAAAAGCCAGAAGTGGGGCTGTGCCTCAAGTGGTAGAGCACTAGCCTTGAGCTGAAGAGCTGAGGGACAGCACCCAGGCCCAGAGTTCAAGCCCCTCAACTAACAAAAAATAATAATAATAATAAAATAAATAAATAAAATCAATGCAACCTCTGTACAGTATCTTTACAATAAAAAATATTTTAAAAATAGATTTAAAACAATGCAATTCTGATGGAAATAATAGTGACTTCATAGTTTAAAAATCAGTATCTTTAGTGGTGCTATGGCTCAAAGTGGTAGAAAAATCAGTATCTTTGCTATGAGCCATTGGATCATGCCTATAATCCTAGCTACTCAGGAGGCTAAGATCTGAGGATAGCAGGTCAAAGCCAGCCCAGGTAGGAAAGCCCATGACTCTTCTCTCCAATTAACCAGCAAAAAAAAAAGAGCCAAAGTGGAGCTGTGGTTCAAATGACAGAGCACTAGCCTTGAGCAAAAATGCTCAAGGATAGCACCTAGGCCCTGAGTTCAAACTCCAAAACTGGCACACAAAAAAAATCAGGTTTTTTTTTTTGTTTTGGGTTTTGTTTCTTTGGGGGTCAGTTGTGGGGCCTGAACTCAGGGCCTGGCCACTGTCCCTCAGCTCTTCAGCTCAAGGCTAGTGCCCTACCACTTGAGCCACAGCACCACTTCCGGCTTTTTTCTGCTTATGTAGTGGTGAGGAGTCGAACCCAGGACCTCATGCATACAAGACAAGCGCTCTACCACTGAGCAAACTTCCCAGCCCCAAATCAATATCTTTTAATCCTCAATTTTCAACTGATAGGTGCTATTTGTACACATATATGGAATACAATGCACACTTCAAGACATGTATGCAATGTGCAATGACCAGATAAGGGCATACTCATCCCCAACGCATTCAACATTTCTTTGTGTTGGGCAAAAATAAGGGGTTTTTGTTTTGGTTTGGTTTGTTTTAGGGAGACAATATTGGGGCTTGAACGCGGGACCTTGCACACTTCTTAGTTTTTTCACTCAAGACTGGTACACTACTTCCATAGCATATCCATAGTTCTACTTCCTGGCTTTGGGTGCTTAATTGGAGATAAGAATCTTACAGCCTTTCCTGCCAGGGATGGTTTCAAACCACAATACTCAGATCTTAGCCTCCTGAGTAGCTAGGATTACAGGCAGAGTCACCAACAATTGATTCTAAGAATCAGGTTTTGATAACGAGGAATACATGACTCCTCTAGGCAGATTAGATAACTTCTCCTTCTTGTATGTTAGAACTTTCTACAATGCATGTATATTGCTTATTTCATAGCAATTCAAATTTTACACATAATGTAGTATTTAATTATCTTAAATTGAAAATTTAGGTACTTTTTTAAAAAAATAGATTTGGTTTATAATGTAAAAAGAACAGACTAACTTGAGCCAAAAATCTCAAGACAAGCCAGGCGCTGGTGGCTCACGCCTGTAATCCTAGCTACTCAAGGAGGCTGAGATCTGAGGATCACGGTTCAAAGCCAGCCTGGGCAGGAAACCCATGAGACTCTTTCTCTTTTTTTGGGGGGGGCGTCCGGTTGTGGGGCTTGAACTCTGGGCCTGGGCACTGTCTCTCAGCTCTTCAGCTCAAGGCTAGCGCTCTACTACTTGAGCCACAGCACCACTTCTGGCTTTTTTCTTTTTGCTTATGTGGTGCTGAGGAATCGAACCCAGGGCCTCAGGCATGCAAGGCAAGTGCTCTACCACTGAGCCATCTTCCCAGCCTCCATGAGACTCTTATCTCCAGTAAACCACCAGAAAACCAGAAGTGGCACTGTGTCTCAAGTGGTAGAGCGCTCTTCCTTGAGCTGAAGAGCCCAGAGTTCAAGCCCCAGGACCGACCAAAAAAAAAAAGTCTTAGGACAGCATTGGAGCCTTAAGTTCAAGGCCCAGGATCAGCACCAAAAATAAATAAATAAATAAGAATAGCACTTTTTAAAAAATTAGAAATTTAGAGTAGACATGAAATGCCTTGAGATTAAGGTGATTCTCTAACAGCTCTGGGGTTCGAGTCTGGGAGAAATTACCAGATAGCTAAATTCCTTCAGTTGTTTGTTGCCGCTCACCACCAACTCAAAAGGTGATCCCACCTAAGAAAGTAAATTTTGATTAGTATGTACATATCAATGGCAAGGGAGTCTCCTGCTATTATAGTTTGCAAGTGAGTCATAAGCGTTACCTTTACGTTTTCATCTCTCATTTTTAGCTGAATGTATGTCTTACTAGGAGACATAAACATATCATGAACCGCCATGTGACCAACACTGTCCAGAAAATAAGCCTATAACCAAACAAAGAAAGCTTTAAACTTCCATCTCGAGAAAAGATGTTACCTGCTGAGTAATTGCTGAAACCCAGGTCACCTTCACCTTTTCTTTTAATTCACCAGACATTGGCTCTTCATCATTTTATAGCTTCTGCTATAAAGAATCTGATCATTTTTAGGCCAAGGGTCATGGCACACACCTATAATCCTCACTCCTCAGGAAGCAGAGAAAGGGAGGATTGTAGATTAATGCCAGCCTCACTTTAAAAAAAAAAAATTCCTAAGATCTCATTTCAACCAATAAGACAGGCGTGGTAGCGCATGGTTGTCATGCGCACTAAGTAGCAGGATAGTGGTCTGAGATTAGCTCCAAGCTAAAACTCAAAATAATTAAGGCAAAAGAGGGCTGAGGTATGACTTAAGTGGTAAAGAGCCTGCCAACAAGACAGATGCTTTGAGTCCAAGTTTCAGTCCTGCAGAAATAAAGAATCTGATAGTTTTTTAATATGGGGGAAAGGCGCTTATTCCGTACTCTGGAGGGGAAAAGTACAGCCCTAACTTATTTCAGAAACAAAAATATTTTATGAGAGTTCACTGTAAGAATAAAGTAAAATAAAAGATCCTTTCTTTCTCTCTACAACACATGTTCAAGCAAAAAACCTTGCCATCCCCACTCAATTCGCCAATGTTAAGAGTAAAAATCACAGGTGAGTGCCAGTGACCCACGCTTGTAGTCCTATCTTCTCCAGAGGCTGAGATCTGAGGATCATGGTTCAAAGTCAGCCTGTGCAGAAATGTCCGCGAGACCTTTATCCCCCCACATGAACCACTAGAAAATTGGAAGTGGCCCTGTGGCTCAAATGGTAGAGCGCTCACCTTGATCTGAAGAGCTCGGGGACAGCATCCAGGCTCAAGTTCAAGCCCCACAACCAACAGAAAAAAAATAAATAAATAAGTAAAAATCATCTGAGCATGGTGGACCAAGCCTGTAACCAGAACACTTCAACAGCTAAAGCTTCAAGTTCAAGGCCAAGGCCAACCTGGGCTGCATATTAAAATCCTATCTCAAAAATTAAAGAAATAAAAATAAAAATCAGAGACAGCCGGGTACTGTGGGTAATCCTAGCTACTCAGGAGGCTGAGATCTGGGGATCCCAGTTCAAACCCAGCCCAGGTAGGAAAGTCTGTGAAGACTCTTATCGCCAGAAAACCAGAAGTGGCGCTGTTGGATGTTGCTGGCTCCTATCTGTAACCCTAGTTACTCAGGAGACTGAGACACAGAGGATCACAGCTGCACACTAGCCCAAGTAAAACCTGCACAAGAGTCCATCTCAAGCAATATGTATCCATGGGCGGCATGCATCTGGTAGCCTCACTACAGGGGAAAACATAAATAGGAAGATGACAGTACCACCCAGCCTGAGCAAAAGAAGGAAAGCCTTCCTCAATATTAACAAGAGCAAGCCAGATACATCTGGAATCCTGAGCTACTCAGAAGTCTGAGACCCGGAGGATCGAATCCTCTAGCTGGGGCAGAAAAGTCTGCAAGGCTTCGTTTCCAATTAACAGTCAAAATGCCAGCATGGAAGTGTGGCTCACATCAGAGCACCAACAGTAAGAAAGCCAAGTGCAAACACAAGCTCTCAGTTCAAACCCCAATACCAACACAAACAGATACATGCAAAAATAAACAGATAACCAGAGCAAAAAGGGGCAGAGGAGTGGATCAAGTGGTAAAGCACCTGCCTAGCAAGCACGAACCTCTGAGTTCAAACTCCAGTAGCAATTTAAAAAAAAAAAATCAAATAGGGCCAGGTGCTGGTGGCTCACGCCTGTAATCCTAGCTACTCAGGAGGCTGAGATCTGAGGATTGCAGTTCAAAACCAGCCTGTGCAGGAAAGTCCATGAGACTCTTATCTCCAATAAACCACCAAAAAATTGACACTGTGGTTCAAGTGACAGAGCGCTCACCTTGAGCTGAAGAGCTGAGGGACAGTGCCCAGGCCCAGAGTTCAAGTCCCATGACAGACAGAAAAAAAAAAAGAATAAAAGAAAAGTAATAGGAATGGTGAGGGTTTCTCAGATGAACCATTGTAGGAAAAAGCATCAAGCAAAGGTATGATAGACATATATAGATATATATTATATACAGGTATATGTATATATATAGGTGTGTATACACTTATATATATACATGCCGGTATACTTTATACATAGTCTACATATTGTATAGATACTATGTACATGCTGTATATAGTATATATAGTATAGGTATACATAGTATATCTAGTACATATATATAGTACATACTATGTACATATATGTGTGTGACAAAATGCAATTTCAAATGTCTGAAAAAATCAACTTGGACGAGTTTTTCAGGACCTCCTCCATTGTATCCTTTGTTATATTTCTGTATTTTTCTCTGCTCCTCAAATTCAAGTTTCAGGAAGACATCCTCACTCACTGAGTTACATCTAGCATTTTTCTTCACTTTGTGAAGGACACACGTGGCACCTTTAATCGGAGCTCGCTGGAGTCATCCAGGATGGGGAATTCGATCTTGAAGATTCCGTTTGGGGGGAGAGTGTAGTTCCTATGCTGGACCGTGTCTGACTCCCTGGCCCCACCACTCCAGGGATTGCTACTGCTCTTCTGCGTCACTGTGATCAGCACCGGATTCCTCCTTTCCTCAAGGGTCAGCTGATGGCCATCAGAGCGCGTGACCTTCACCTAGTCGTCAAAACCAGAGACTTCTCAAAATAGGTATCAAGAAAAGCAAAACCTATTAGTTCATTGGCCCAGCAGTAAAGCTCTTTTTTCTTTATGGTGTTGGTAATCGAGTTTGAACTCAGGGCTTCTGCTCCTGCTTGGCCTTTTCTGCTCAAGGCCGGAGCTCTACTACTTGAGACACAACTCCACTTCCAGCTTTTTTGCTAGTTAATTGGCGATAAGAGCCTCATGTGCTTTCTTGCCCAGACTAACTTCGAACTGTGATAGTCAGATCTCAGCCTCCTGAGTAGCTAGGATTACAGGAATGCCCTGTGAAACTCCTGACCAGTATTGGCTGTACCCTCTTCAAGACCCTTCTACTAGTAAAAGCTTCAAGGTAACAATCCACATAAAACCCAAAATGGGGGCTGGGAAGGTGGCTCAGTGGTAGAGCGCTTGCCTTGCATGCCTGAGACCATGGGTTCGACTCCTCACCACCACATAAGCAAAAAGAAAAAAGCCGCAAGTGGCACTGTGGCTCAAGTGGTAGAGTGCTAGCCTTGAGCTGAAGAGCTGAGGGACAGAGCCCAGGCCCAGAGTTCAAGCTCCACGACCAGACCAAAAATAAATAAATAAATAAAACCCAAAATGACCAGTCAAACAAACTTCCAGGAAAATATTTTGTTGGTAGCTGGTACCGGTGGCTCATGCCTGTAATCCTAGCTACTCAAGAGGCTGAGATCTGAGGATTGCAGCTCGAAACCAGCTTGGGCAGGAAAGTTGGTAAGATTCATTTCAAATAAAGTACTCAGAAAGAGCCAGAAGTGGAGTTGTGGCTTAAGTAGTAGAGAGCTATTTTTTTTGTAGGTCTTGGGGCTTGAACTCAGGGCCTGGGCACTGTCCCTGAGCTTTTCTGTGCTCAAGGATAGCACTCTACCACTTGAGCCACAGCATCACTTCTGACTTTTTCTGTGTACATGGTACCGAGGAATCAAACCCAGGGCCTCATGCATGCTAGCAAGCACTCTACCACCAAGCCACATTCCCAGCCCTACAGTGCTATTCTTGAGCACAAAAAGTTCAGTGACAGAGTCCAGGCCTTGAGTTTAAGGTCTCCCAGGCCCACCCCCAACCCCATATACACATATACACATATACACATATACACATATACAGATAGTTGTTACTAGGTAATACTTTTTTTAGAAAAATTAGACAAAGTTCATTTGGAAACAATTCTACTTGCATCACATATGTAAAGAAGAAAAGTAACTACCTATGTCAGGCCATCATCCTTTTAATAATTCAATTCTGTAATTCAATTTACATTGACCACTAGTTCATTAAGAACCCATATGATCACTTTATCTGTCTGATGACAGATAATTGAGCATAAATTTTGGAAGAAACCCTAAATATACAATGTCCCTTCCCTTGTCAAATTTACTGCTATGGACCAGTGATAAATACAACAACTTACAGTGGCCGTGAAGTTGAGAGCTGGTTTCAAGACAGTGGCATAGTCAAAAAATTCTAGGATGTAATCATGCTGCTTGAAAAACACATTGGCGCTTGCATTTCTTGATATACCTATTTGGGGAATTACACCATGTAGAATTCAAAAGCAGTATTTCATCTTCCTCCCACCTGAGCCCAAGCTACTCACCAGAAGTATGTAAGGAGATCAAGCCTCCAGAGCACAAAAGCTGTGTGTCCACACTGGCTTTGATACCACGAAAACCAGTATCAGCCCAGCCCATCACATTCTCCACCCACTCCTGAGCATTGCTACCACCCTCTCCACACACACCCTCAGTACAGGAGACCCAACAGAAAATAGCCACAAGTGGGGCTTTGCTCTCTATACTGAAATAGTAACAGGTCCAAGAATTTTTTTTTTAGTACGAGGGTTTGAACTCAGGAACTTGAGCCTCCTCGGCAGACGATCACTTCAACACACCCCTAACCTTTTGCTGTTGTTGTTGTGTTTGTTGTCATTGTTCATTTTTCCTTTGTTTTTTGTTTGGCAGAGGGAGGAGTTTGCTGGTCCTGGGGCTTGAACTCAGGGCCTGGGCACTGTCTCTGAGCTTCTTCTGCTCAAGGCTAGTACTCTACCACTTGAGCCACAGAGCCATTTCCAGCTTTTGGGGTAGTTTAGTGGAGATAAGAGTCTCACAGCTTTCCTGCCCTGACTGGCTTCATATTGCAATCCTCAGATCTCAGCCTCCTGAGTAGCTAGGATTAGAGGTGTGAGATTCCTTTTTAAAAAGGCACCATCTAGAAAGAAACAGTTTCGAACTGTTTCTTTGTGTTTGTGTGTGCGCGCGCGTGTATGTGCACACGCACACTAGTACTACTGCTTGAACTCAGGGCCTTTCACTGTTGCTGTGCTATTTCTCATTCAAGACTGGAGCTCTACCACTTGAGCCACATCTTCACTTCTGGCCTTTTGCTGGTTAAGTGGATAAGAACCTCTTGGCTGTATCTGCTGGGCTGGCTTTGAATTATAATCCTCAGATCTCAGTCTCGAGGGTAGCTAGGAACATAGGTTGACCACCAGCACTCAGATTAACTGATTTTTTTGTTGTTGTTTTTAGAAACATGCAGAAGAAAAGAAAACCTGAAAACTATTCCAAGTCGTTGTCACATGACTGAAGCACAGACTTTGCTTTTATTATGAAATCATCTCTCCAGGCAAACTGACGTTCAGTTTGACAACATTCGGTGGAAGGGCTGGAGAGCTGGGGCAGATGGCCGAGAACAATGGACAAGGTGACATAGATCTGGAAATGCACTGGACTCACAGACTGGCATGCTGAATTGAACCTCTCTGTACAACTACCTCAAGATAATGTAAGACAATGAATTGCTACTCCATAACCTGGTGAGAAAAGCTAGTGAAAGTGTAGCTACAGCAAGAGAGGAAAGAGCAACAGCACAGGAAACAGTGACCCCTCGAGTTCCAAGCCCACAAACCTGTCAGAGACTCTGTCACTGTGGCAAGAATTTCTACTGGCCCCGGCGTGGGTAAATCCACGTGCTCCAGGTGCTCGTTGGAAAAATCCATGACCTTTTGCATCTCTTCATCATTAAAAGAGAAGTTGGCAGATCCGTGTATCTGTTTTGTATAAAAGTTTGATTTTTACTTGTTCATGTTAGGGATTCATTTGAACTCCAGAAATACACTAAGTCACAAGATACAGTTGGCTCCAATTGAATCATTTAAGTGGATAAAGTCACACTTATCAATTCTGAAAAGCTCTTGATTTTTTTTATAGTCCACGTTTGTTAATTTGATACAAGATCTTACTTTTAGAAAGGAAAAAAAAACTGTTTAAATTTTCCCCATGATCAGTTATAAAATACCTTCAAAAGTTGTCATGTACCAGTGGTGTCATGTACCAGTGGCTCACTCCTGTAATCCTAGCTACTCAGGAGACTGAGATCTGAGGATCACAGTTCAAAGCCAGCTCAGGCCAAAAGGTCTGGGAGACAGGAAGTTGAACTGTAGCTTTATTGGTAGACTGCCAGCCAGTCTTGGGCAAAAAAGATAAGGGATAGCACCCAGGCCTGAGTTCAAACCCTAGTACTGATATGCACACACACACATACATACACACACACACACACACACACACACACACACACACCTGCAAATTACCTTAAATTGTTTTGTAATATTTTTCTTCTCTCCCCAAAAGGACAAAGGTAAAAATGTAAGCAATACTTCTCCTTTCACTGGCTTCCCATATGTATACCTAAAAAACAATGAACAGAATTGGTGAAAGGAAGGTAGGTAGGTAGATAGATAGATAGATAGATAGATAGATAGATAGATAGATAGATAGGATAGAAATCTATACACATATTTATGTTAGAGAAATACAAAGAAAAAATGACATTCATAGCATACAACACAAAAAATAATATGTTAAATTAATAAGAATTGTGTCATATATTATAATAATTTAATAATATATATTATATATTGTATATTGTGAATATTATATTATATAATGTATTATGATATATTATATAATACATTAATATCATAATATGTTAATATGACAACATACTAATATGATCATACATAAATTTCATAAAATACATCAATATAAAAATCATCATGTACACTAATATCATAAAAGCATACTTTTTCTAGCTTTGTTATTTAGAATGTTAGGATGCTGTGATTAACCTCGTGAGAATTACCGACTTATTGAGAACCATGTTTCATAGGGCCATTTACCCATACCTTTAGCACACAAAGCTCCGCTGATTTTCCAATACAATTTCCAGAAATTGATCTATTTGTTATTGTTACTGCATGTTTGTCTGCTGGATTTTTTTTTTTTGGGTCCGGTCATGGGGCCTGAACTTGGGGCCTGGGCACTGTCCCTCAGCTCTTCAGCTCAAGGCTAGCACTCTACCACTTGAGCCACAGCGCCACTTCCAGCTTTTTTCTTTTTGCTTA